CAAAAAAAAAAAAAAAAAAAAGCCACTCTTGGCTGGTTCATCAAGAGTGTCTGGACACCAGTAGGTGTTTAAAGCTCCTTAGACAGTTTTCTGTGTAGCCAGGGTTAGGGGCCCTTTGAATTAGAAAAACTCAGGCTCTGTTCCGTATAGGCTTCTGCGCTTTTCTGGTTTCGAACCATGTTATGGATTCTTTGTGTAGTTAGCTATGTCTCCGTTTTAAAAAACACATTTGGTTTTGGTTTAAATAGTTTGATTTTGGGAAATTTGCTTTTTCAGCTTTCCTGGGAGAAGGCAGACAGAAAGTCTAGAAACATCCTGCATCCCCCCAGTGGTGTCATTGACTGCCGAGTGTTTGTTCTTAGACATTCTTAGCTGCCATTCTTAGTTTCCGATCGTGATATTTTATAGGTTGAGAGACTAAAACATTTAGTTTCTAAATATTCTAAAATATTACCACTTTACCATCTGTCTATTCAGTGACACCTCTGCCTTTTGAAGTTAAACTTTCAATTAAAAGTTTCAAATATTGGCAAACACTCCTAATTCCCTTGTGGGGAGGATATTTTATTGAGTTTGTTAAAAATGTTACTTTAGTAATAGTTGGGTGGAAAGTGAACATGGAAATTTGAAATGTCTACATGAAACATTAACTTGCCAGCTCAGCTAACTGTGCTGTAATATTAACACATGTTTTATTTCCATGTCAACCTTGTGCATGTTGACTCTTTTTAAGATCACAGGTCTGGTCTCGAGGAGGAGCAGAGTGTGTTCATCGATGTTGACTGCAGACACCCAGATGCCGTCTTGACCCCCATGCCTGAGGGCTTGTCTCAGCAGCAGGTGGGCTGGGCAGGGCTGATTCAGGTTCTGTTCACTAGCACAGCTGTGCTCTATCTTAAAATAGATGAATGTGTACATGCTGGTTGGGGCATGTCTGCTGTCCGAAACTCTCTGCCAGCTCCTTCCCTTGGGCACTCCACCATAGGCTCCTGGTCTAGCAATTGAAGAGTTCCCATCAGGTATAGCAGGAGGCCTCGGGGACTCTGGTCAGTGGCTGTGAGCTTGTGGGTTGAGCTCAGGCCATTCTGGCCCTTAAGTATTTTGAATATCATTTCTGTGCAGTGATGAGAAATGTGGAAGTTGCTCACACAAGTTTGTGCTGATGGGATGCTTTATAGAGACAGCATGTGGGTGGGTGTAAGTATGTAGGTACCTGGGACTGAGATTACAATGGGAGATTTTCAGTAAGCAATGAAATGATCTGAATATAACACATTTCCTAAGATCTGATAATAGGTAGCAACGGGGGAAAGATTGTGGCTTCTATTTGCCTATCTTTAAGTACTAGGAGGAGACAACTTCAGGAACAAGAGTAATGCCAGAGCATGTAGGCGTTTAGGGACAGGGACTGATGCTTTGGGATGGGATCTGAGACCTTTTCCGGGTAGCATTGTGCAACCCATAGAGACTAGGATAGATACATAGATATGCATGGATATGCAGGTGCAGATTGATACATGGATGTGATTGTGACATAGGTAGGCAAACGTGCGGATATAGAACGTTGTCAGGTGGAAGGAAGACAGCACAGAAGGGCTTAGCAGTAAAGTCAGAGTTTTAAAAACTATTTTAAAAGATACCTATGAGCATTAATAATTAGACCGAAATAGGAAGTTTACATTTCACTTGAACTGAAGAAGAAACCAAGGGAGTTGAGAATAATGACAAAAAGCCGAGATAAATGAGGTCGTTGCCCCATGTGACTGGCGAAGCCTACTGGTCCGGGGAGATGATTATTTAATGACTGCCCTCACTGATGCTTACTCTGTGTGGCCCGTGCTGAGGCCTTGATGTACTTCACTGCAGTTAATCCTTGCACGTTCCCTTGCTGTCAGGACCTGTTTTCCAAATGAGGGCGCCCGGGCCCAGAGGAGGTTCATAATCTGAACTGAGTCCTGCAACTACTCAAGGAGGTCCCTTTTCTGAGTTGCATCTCTCTGATCACAACTCCTTAACCCCTTATGCGCTCCACTGGGGAAGTGTGCCCTGGGGAGTCTAGCTGCTGACCATAGCAGGATTGTTGACAGATTCTTCCAGAAACAAAGAATCGAGCTCTTTCTCCTCAAGTTTGCTGTCTGGTTCACCAGCCTCATCATAGCCTCTAACTTGAAAGAAGGAATTGTTTGCCGAACAACTTCTTGCCATCTGTGCCTCTGACTGGTGAACTCACTGGCCCATTCCTCTACCATTTGGGGCACTTACCACATGTAGGTCTCTACACTGGCTACTGAGGACACACCACGTGAGTGGGCTTTGGATCCGGGTCTCTGAGAACTTAGTGTGGTGTGTTGAAGCCTAAAAACAGTTTAAGTGCAAGATCGAAACACAAAGGAAACGCTACCAATGGAGATAGGAAGGCAGCCTCACAGATGAGAGGAGGCCAGGGGATCACGAGGAGGGGGTTGAGCAGACGTGGATATAAGGAGCCAGAGGCCCCAAAGGTACATTGTTCAAACCAAGGGACGCCTCAGCTAAAGAAGAGGCAGTGAGTAGGCGTGTGGGGATGAGTGAGACTGAGGAGGAGTGTGGGTCTGTAGGAGAGAGTGAGAAGGGACGTGGGTGTGTAGGAGATAGTAGTAGGGGTGTGGGTCTATAGGAGAGAGTGGGTTGGAGTGTGGGTCTGGAGGAGACAGTGAGTAGGGGAATGAGTCTGTAGGAGAGAGTGAGTCTGGGTGTGCGTGTGTGATGAGACAGGATACGGATGGGTTGTTAGTGAACAGTACAGTGCGGAAGCTGTGTGTTGGGAACATTGGGACAGTGCTTGAACTCTGCATGTTTACACATTTAAAGCCCTTGCCTTCTTTGTGACACCTGTGCCCGTGTGGTTTATTGTTGGGTGTTGGCCTTTCCTTGTTCTGGGGGTCTTTAAGGACCTGGTGCTCTCTAGAGCCCCCAGACCTGATTCTAAAGCCTTGGTGCTGCTCTGGGCGTAGCTAGATGCCTTGGGTCCAGTAATGATTCAAGCCGCGTTTCTTTCTCTGTGAAGTAGGGTGCCCCTCATAGGAATGACTCTTGACATCCCACACATGGGGCTCTGTGGTGTCAGCTCCAGGGATATGGCATGTGGGATCCTGATGATAGCAAGTTGTCAGTGTTGAGGATTTCTGTATTTTTCCATCCAGCGTCCTCTCTTGTGGTCCTGATCTACGTTGATTATTCTTTCCTGCTGACAACATTGTTCTCCATGGGAGTTTTCTCTTGACAGGTTAAACTGGGGGTGTTTGGGACAGTGCTCTCTAATCTTTTTCTTCTGAAATTGAAGCAAGGTAACAGAACTAACAATTCTCCATGTGGGACATTCTTTTCATGTCCTCTTTGGGGTGGACAAAAAGCAAAGCCTGTGTTGTTTCATGGGTTGCCATTGACTTGGAAAGTGCCCCTGATGTTGAAAGGATGCTGTCCTGTCCCCTGTCTATCCAGACTGCCTGGCAGAGGCCACATATCCAGCGGTTGTTCCCCTCCGGTGGGGCTGCCGCCTCTGCTTGATTCTGTTAGCTTTGGCAGAAAAGCCCTTTTCCATGTGGAGTTTGCCTCCATGACCTCAAGAAGAGCATGTCAGCTATGGAACCTCCCCTGCCTGTCTTAGCTGCCATGTGATTTTGTGTCAAATTTAACAGCTGAAAAAGCCTGACATCACATGCAGTTGCTGTGGCATTTGGGAGACTGGTTTCGATTTTGCATTTCAGATTATTTTGTGCCAATTCCAGATGCTTTTACCTTGTACATTAGTATCCTGTCAGGTTTTTAAGTGTGTGCGTGTATGTGTGTATACACACAAAAAGGACCTACATATACATGTACATATGCATGTATATGTAGTCATTGATTTCTTCCTTAGGAACCTTAGAAGGATTGATTTTTGTGTTACTTCTGTGAATCGAATAGTCCTTTTTGTAGAGAATATAGTCATGGAACCAACCATGTTGCCCATTGAAGCTGAACTGGATAAAAAAAATGTGATACATATACACAATGGAATATTCAGCCATAAAGAAGGACAAACATATGGACTTTGCAGCAACTTGGATGGATTTGGAGTCGATCATACTCAGTGATTTATCACAGAAACAAAGAACTGAGTTCCATATGTTCTCACTCGTAAACTGACCTTGAACAATTATAATGCTATAAGAAAGCGATTGGCAGTAGTGGGAAACTGTCAGGGGAGTGGGGGTGGGATTGCCAGTTGAGGGAAACTGCTAGGGGAGGGAGGGGCATACCTCATCAACAAGGGTATCTGCATGATCAATGTTTATATACCTAACCCTGAATTGTACCCCACATCTCTATAACAAATAACAATAATTAAAAATAATATAGTAATTCCTATGTTATTCATATTTTTTATTCTTTTAAAAAAATTATTTTACTTTTAAAATGTGGGGTACAAATAAATGTTAGATTGCTCTGGAGTCTTTAACTCAAGGAATTTCCTTTGTGAAAAAAATGCCCTCTCTTTCCACTAGGTGGCTCTGCAGTCTCTTCAAATCATGTCAGAGCTGCAGATTGCCAGGGCTGATTCTGGCATGTGTGTTGTGTGTGTGTGTGTGTGATGTGCATGCGTTCATATGCATGTGTGTGCTTGTGTGTGTTCTTTTGCATTTATGTGGAGTAGCGTGCATGTGTGTGTGAGAGATGTGTGCTCCTGCATATGTTCACACGCATGAGCGTGAATGCTGTTCAGAAGCAACTCTAATCCTCTTTTACTCTTTTCCATGATTTGGCTGACATCCCTTGTGGATTGTGTTGAGGGCGAAAAGGGTGCCAGGCGTCCTCACCAGCTTTCACAGGATCTCACAGCCACAGTCTGGACTTATATGCATCTCAGTCATGAGAAGTAGAAAATAGCATCAGTGTTTGACATGCAGACATCTCAGATCACAGCGATGTTTTGCATCTCTGTCACGAGTGATTCACCCTGTGCACTCTTAGTATCATAGGTAGATCTCTGGGTCATCAAAAGACCTATTCCTCACCTTCCACGGGCTTTCTGTTTTTGTATAACTTTAGAATAAGGATTTTAGATAAATGTTGCTAATAACATTTGTTAATCAAGAATGGAACTTTAAAAAAATATCATTTATGTGAAATGTCATCTAACTTGGCATAGGACGCATAAGGTACAATCAGTTAATTCAGTTCATTGTAACATAAGTGAACAAATTGTTTTAAGTGCTGTAATTTTATTTATCCTGTTCTAGTTATAGCTTATAATTTTAGGCTTAAAAGACAATCGTATGTTAATGGGGGAAAGTATGTTTTGAAGCTGTAATTTTATTTAATTGATACATCATTTAAAGTATTTTAAAGACCTTTGAAGGCTTCCTTATCCACAAGCCTCAGCATAGAAGTGGAATTTATCTGTAAGTATTCTGAAGCAATTTTCTCCTTTTCAACAGGTTGTAAGGCGATACATTCTGGGATCAGTTGTTGACAGTGAAAAGAACTACGTAGATGCTCTTAAGAGGATTTTGGAGGTATCTAAGTGTCATGTTATATTGTACATACATTTTTGTCATCCTTTTTTTACCTATATACTTTTTGTTACGTACATGTTTTATATACATACATGTTTTTGAGCCATAATGTGTGCAAATTTGCAAAATTCTCAAGAGAATTTAAGTATTGTGTCTGTATGTTGAGCTCAAAATTCATGACGTGTTTTGAAATGGATATAAGCTAGGTAGGTGAATGTTTGCAGACCCTTTTACCTGTGCTTCGGAGTGTCTGAACCATCTGTCCTCACCTTGTCATAGCAATATGAGAAGCCACTGTCCGAGATGGAGCCCAAGATCCTGAGCGAGAGGAAGTTGAGGATGGTGTTCTACCGCATCAAAGAGATCCTGCAGTGCCACTCCCTGTTCCAGATCGCATTGGCCAGCCGCGTGTCCGAATGGGACTCCGTGGAGATGATTGGCGACGTGTTTGTGGCTTCGGTGAGTGAGTGGGCTCTCTGTGTACTGGTCCCCTTTCTGGTTCCTGAGCTGATGTCCTGCTGAATGTGTGGTGTCTTCACACAGGCTCAGTGCCGCTCTACATGGACACCTGCATGCTGTCAAACGGATGGTTCTCCCTGGAGGCCGGGCTGAGGTTACGATGCTGGCCATGTGTGTTTACCAAAAAGGGGATAAGTGGGTATTTACCAGGGAGACCGAACAGAATGTTTTGACTATAGCATGGAAGCACAATTCTTACTAAGATATTTGCATAATGCTCTCCATGAATTTTTATGAAAAGCAAAAAAAAAAAAAAAAGAAATATTAGATATTTAGTTGGTTATTGCATATTTTGACTATTTTATGTATTAACTTTAACTTAATCACTCTTCCTTTAAGTATTTACTTGGCCAACATTTTAAACATTTTTATTTTTGAGTCGGAGTCTCACTTTATCATCCAGGCTGGAGTGCAGTGTGCAGTCACAGCTCACTGCCGCCTCGTCCTCCTGGTCTCAAGTGATCTTCCCATCTCAGTCTCCCAAAATGTTGGTTTTACAGATGTGAGCCACCATGCACAGCCTAGGAACATTCTTAACTAAAATCCAAATTACCAGGATTTCAAACAAGGATGCCTGAAAGTGCACTACGGTTGGCAAAAATAAGATCCAACCAGCCATCTAAACAATTCCTAACAAGCTTACTTAGGGAAAACAAAAATCATACAGTCATAAAATGTACCCTGTGAGAGTATTGCAGTGACCGAAAGGGGATTTTAGGACAGGCGTCACATCTTCTGTGTTCAGTTGGAGAAGAGGGTATTTGGAGTCGACATGTTATTTCCTCCTCAATTTCCCCTGTGTTCCAGTTCTCCAAGTCCATGGTGCTAGATGCTTACAGTGAGTATGTGAACAACTTCAGCACAGCTGTGGCTGTCCTCAAGAAAACCTGTGCGACGAAGCCTGCTTTTCTCGAATTTTTAAAGGTAAGCATGTGTTTCTTTCGTTTGAGTTTTAACACCTGATGACAAGTTCCATGTAAAATACTTCAGTGAAACTCCCCAGCCTTGCCTCTAAGTGTGTCATGCTACTATCAGGAAGATTTCAGCGCCCACAGTGTCCTGGGTGCTGGTTTAATGCTGGAAACGAGGCAGGTTCAGGGCTCAAGGCAGCTTTTTGAAAGTGAGTTTTATTTGTATACTCTTAGAAGTGTATTGTTGGATAGACAGAAAATCAAGATCAGACCGGAGTGACCCTTCCTGCCTGTCCTGTGGCGTGATGTCAGGAAGAAGAGAAATCTGACATCTGGAGTCTGGGTTGGAAGCTGTCCTGTTGGGGCGAAGGTGTGCACGGTGGCGGGGGATAACACAGACCTGGAAAGAGAGGGGGCACGACTCTGTTCTTCCTGGTGTCAGAGGAGAGCCAGTGGCCTCCCTCAGTGGCTTCTGACTCTGCAGTGACAGATGTGGATGCTGTCATTTATCCAGCAGTGGGCAGGTCTTCCCCAGCCACAAGATGAGTGTCAGCGGCTGGGAGAGGAGGGGTCACTGCACACGGAACCACATTCCATTTCCCCTTTGGGAAGCTCAGCCTCCTTTGTAGGAGGCCTCATTTGCATTATAAAGTCTAGGGACAAAGCTGTTCCCACTGGGACACAGGGCAAATGTTCTCACCAGCCACTGAGTCTTCTCCCCTGCCTCACATCACTTCACTCAGCGTGGGGGGGAGGGTCCTTGCTCCTGCCTGGCACCAGTCATGGAGCTGAACCACACGACGACTGTCCTTTTGCTATGGCAGCATTTCTTTCTTCTGGGGGACCTGAGTTAATAGTTCCTTTCCTCTGAGGATGTTGCGATGGTCTTTCTGAGCGTTCCAGCTGTGGCTGTGACCATAGTGCCCATTCTCAGCTCACCAGCTGTCAGGTGGTCTTAGAAGATGCACTCTCTGATCCCATCTTGGAGCCCTGGGGTCTGAGCTTCCCAGGGCGGTGCCCATGGGGTTGAGTGACTAGGGCAGCCCCTTGCCGAGGGTACTAGAGACCCCCCCCACAGGTGCAGCCCCAGGAAGTAAATGACTTGGCTTCACCTCTGTGCTCAGAGGCAGCTGCCTGCCCCTAGGACTCCTCCCGCCTCTCCTGGGGGTAGACTGTGGCCAGAGTGCCAACACCTAGGGGCAGGCCCTGGCACACCCACCCGGCGACTTCTTCCCCGCTGAGAGCCAAGCTTCAAGGGGTGTGGCTCAGCCTCTCCACAGGACAGTGGAACTGGAGCAGGGTCTCCCCTAATCCCACAGGTACAGAGAGCAATTGGGTGAGATTTCCTCATACAACTGGAGACAAGGAACAGCTGGTCCTTGAACAGCCAGCCCTCCTACCCCCTTGTTGCGAGTCATAGGGAGAGACAGCCAGACAGGGAGGGCACGTGACCCCGCAGTGTGGTGACCCAGTGCCTTCCCTTACAGCAGGGCCAGGAGTCGAGTCCAGACCGGACCACACTCTACAGCTTGATGATGAAGCCCATCCAGAGGTTCCCGCAGTTCATCCTCCTGCTCCAGGTACGTGACCTATTCTGACTTTCCTTTGCCGGGCCTCTGTCTCTTCTGTTCATTTGAAAATGGCGTCTATTCGTCCTTGTGATGGTGGCGCCTCCCCGGCCGTTTTAAAGGATGACCTAAGCTGGGTGTGGTGCCTGTAATCCCAGCACTTTGGGAGGCCAGGGTGAGAGGATATCCTGAGCTCAGGAGTTCAAGACTAGCCTGGGCAACATGTTGAGACCTTGTCTCTATAAACAGTAAAAAAATGGGCTGGGCACGGTGGCTCATGCCTATAATCCAGGCACTTTGGGAGGCCAAAGTGAGAGGATTGCCTGAACTCACCAGATTGAGACCAGCCTGGGCAACTTGGTGAGACCTCATCTCTACAATAAATCAAAAAATTAGCTGGGCATGGTGACGCCTGCCTGTAGGAAGGATCGCCTGAGCCCAGCAGGTCGAGGCTGCAGTGGCCAGGAGCATGCCATTGCACTCTAGCCTGGGCGACGGAGTGAGACTCTTGACTCAAAAAAAAAAAGTGAAGAACGACCTGAGACTGGGTAATTTATAAAGAAAAGAGGTTTATCTGGCTCACGGTTCTACATGGTTCCAGCATCTGCTTCTGTACCTTCAGGAAGTTCCCATGGTGAAAGGTGAAGGGCACAGGCGTGTCATGTGGTGAGAGTGGGAGCAAGGGAGAAGAGGTGCTGGGCTCTTTAATACCAGCTCTCGTGTGAACTCATAGAGCAAGAGTCACTCATGACTGAGAATATGACACAAGCTACTTATGAGAGATCAGCCCTGTGCCCCAGACACCTCCCACCAAGTCCCACCTCCATACTGGGAACCACATTTCAACTTGATATTTGAGGGGTCAAATGTCCAAACTCTCCCATCTCCCCATCTCCTCTCTAGATGATCATAGGAGGTCGGGGGTGGGGCAGTGGGAGCCCTGCAGAGTCCTGCTGTCACTGTCACTGGTACTGGGGAGCCACGGAGCATGGTCACCAGCAGTCAGAAAGATCACTGCTCCCTTTGCCCACGTGCCCAAGTCTGCTTTAGAGTCACGTGGAAGATGATTCGCTCCCCTGCCTAGAGGGGCAGACAAGCTTGGAAAGCTAAGAATAGATGTAAACAGACTGTGCCAGTCATTGATTTCCTCAACACCCCCGAGGGACTCTGTGTGTTTTTAACTAAGAATTCTCAATCAGGTACCTGCATGTGGTTAGAAAGAGAGAGCCTGCTTTCACTGCGGCGTGACACGTCGCAGCAGGAGGACTCCCTGTGCCTGAGGCCAAGCATGCTTGCCCATTTGTGGGAGCCTCCCGGACTACTCCGGGAACCCCATGATCCCGTACACTGCACAGCTGGGTGCATTCCTTATTTAGCAGGTAGCGCCTTTAGAAAGGACATGTCGGAGGAGCGTCCATGCCGGCCCTGGCATGTTGGCTTCTCAGCAGTTACTCTACTTACTTTTTCATGTTAAATCTGCTGACGTTGCGGGGGTGTGCCTGCTGGTTATAGCTGTTAAAGTGCACTGGTAAAATCTTCCTAGAAATGAACTGGCATTTGGGAAACAGTGCTAAGTCCCCTTACACCAAGTCTCACTCTGTTGCCCAGGCTGGAGCGTGGTGGTGCGATCAGGGCTCACTGTAGCCTCGATCTCCTGGGCTCAAATGATCCTCCCACTTCACCCTTCCAAGTAGCTGAGACTACAGGTATGCACCACCACTCCTGGCTAAATTTTTGATGTTTTTGTAGAGACAAGGTCTTGCAGTGTTGCCTAGGCTGTTCTTGAACTCCTCCAAGGCTTCAGCGATCCTCCTGCCTTGGCCTCCCGTACCAAAATTTTTATCTCTTTTCTAACCAACAAAATCTGTGTAAGACATACTTTTGAAATAAAAGTTATCATAAACGTACGAAAAAGGATACACACTAAAATATCCATGTTGGCTACTTTTGTGGTGAGGCTTATGGGTCGTGCTACTTTTATTCTTTTCTCACTTCTATTTTCAACATATGTACAGCTGATCTGTATTTGGAGTATTAATAACAAAAAGTATTTTTTTCTCCTAAGATCAAAACTCTCAAGCATATGCATTGTTCCTTCAGCTGACAAATCTTTACTGAGCTCTAACATGCGTGAGACGCATAGCTTCCAGGCCCAGGCATGAAGAAGGAGGTTTCTCACGTGAGGCAGGTTGAAGTTTGCCAAGGAAGCAACGTCAGTTAGGGAGTTGTTTAACCATGACTGGGGTGCTGGGAGGGACCATGGGAAAAGTATCATTGCTGTGTGAACTATGCAAGCTGAGTATTCTTAGTGATGTATCAGTGGCTCCTTTGGTCATTACTGGTCATCAGAGACCACAACAACCACTAACTGTGTTTTGAGACCACAAAAGTCATTGGGTTTTTATGATACGTCTGAGTAGTTATAAAATTTTTTAATTTATTAAGTTTGGATATAATTTTCAAGCTAGCTTGTTAGCCTTTGGCTAAGTGTTAACAAATAACTGCAAACCTTTTGCCCGGGTTTTTCCTGAAATATGTTCTTTTACACAGAAGGGGTAGAAGGGGCTGTTAGAAATAGACAGAAGAGAGCAAAGCCACGGGGAGAAGCCCCGCCCCTCCTCCATGGTCACCAAAGAGAGCCACATGACATGCCTTCCACCCATATCAGGTGGCTCCCCCAGCCTGCACGGTTCTTCAGGACCCCATGGAGAAGGGTGGCATGCCTTTCCATGGGGTAGGAAGGAGGCTCAGGGAGGCGAGTGATTCTCTGGGGCAGTGCAACTTAGCAGGTACTGGGCTCCCAACTCTCATCCATGCTGGCCACAACCCAACAGGTGCGGCAGGACCTGGGGATGTTAGCAGCCCATGGGGACATCACAGGAAAGGGCCGGCAAGGGCCTGCATGCCTGGCTATCGTATGCGCTCAGTTTTAAACATCCATCTTTGTGAGAGTCTTTCACTCTCTCGCTTTTTAAAACTTGCCTCTAAACACTTAAGTTCTCAGAGGAAGAACATTCTTAAACTCAGAATTACAGTTATAATGGACTCAAGAATTTTGGTTTAGAAACACTTTTCAGCTTGTTCTTCCAAGTTGTTGCCTGTAAACTTATTTATGTGCAGCGGTTTCTTCCCTCCTCTTCTCCCCACCCTCACTCTGAGACCTCGTGAGACCCTTCTCAGAATTTTCCACACAGGGTACTTTGCCTTGTGAAGTGGAAAACTGTCTTCACTTGATGGGATGTTGCAGCTCAAAACCAAGCACTTAGGGGCATTTGATGACCTGCTGGTGTGTCCTGGAGAATTCTTCTCAAGGGGAGCAGGGTGGGTCCACATTGCTTTGGAGAAGGCATAGTTAGAGGCAGAGACAAGGCAGTGTCTGTCTGGAATAGCTATATGGGTTCCTGAAGCCCAGGTATGGGTGCTCAGGTCACCTGGGATTGGGCCAGTTGACAAGTGCTAGTATGCACCCTCCCTCCTGCCTTCTGCTGTGGTCCATGTGCTCAGTGTAGGTGGGCGGGAAGATAGCACGAATGGGCCGGGACACCCTTCCCTCTTCTTCCAGAGACTCCCCTAGTCTTTGTTCTTTGGTCCTGACTGCACTGTGTCCTCTTAAGTGCTCCCAGACCTTCTTCCTAAGATAGTCGCTGTGAAGCTGCAGCTGTTCTCAGCACGTGCAGGGATGCTAGCTCACCCTGGCTTTGCTGGGACTGTCAGTTTCTCACATGGGATCCAGAAACATCCATTCGCCTCATGGCCTCTGTTTTGCTTTCTCCCAGTTGCCTTTTTTTTCCTCCCATGTTGTTTCTGGTAACAACAGCAATGAGAAACTTCCATTTTCTCCCTCTCAGGCCTTCCCGTGGAGTCTGCAGCCTACTCTAGACTTGGTTCCACCATGTGCCAAGGTCTTAAGCTCCATCATGCTCCGATTCCAGGGTGGCACCATCAGTCTGTGATGTTGGCACCAGGACTGGTTTTTTTTATTTTTTTTGAGTTGGAGTCTCATTCTGTCGCCCAGACTGGAGTGCAGTGGCCACTCCCAGCCACTGCAGCCTCGACCTGCTGGGCTCCGGCGATCCTTTCGCCTCAACCTTCCAAGTAGCTGGAATCACAGGCATGTGCTACCACGCCCAGCTGATTTTTTGATTTATTGTAGAGATGAGGTCTCGCTGCCCAGGCGGATCTCGAACCTGCGGGTTCAGGCAATCCATTCACCTCAGCCACCCAAAGGCGCGGGATTACAGGCTGAGCTACCGAGCCCGGCTCAGGACAGCAGAATGAAGTGGAGTGTGTTCGGAGCTCTCCTCCTACCCCCCCTGTCACCCCCCCACGGTGCCTTTACTGCAATCCATGAGCCCACATTGATGTGTCATCACCCAGGGCCACAGCCACACAAGACTCACTCCTGGCCCGGGCCTTTCTGTGGGTTTGGACAAATGTTTAATGACACGTGTCCACATCATAGCGTTCTACAGAGTCATCTCACTGCCCTACAGGTAGGTCCCTTTCTCTCGTGGGTGGGGGCCACAGAGCCTGCTGGGGGAGTTGCCTTGTGAGTGCCACAGTTGGCACTGCAACGGTGACTCATTTGATGCTGGGAGACTGATTTTTTTGAGACAAGTCACTGGACCCTCTGCCAGGGTTCATTGTTGATTCCACTTAAGAACAGTCTGTCATCGCCTGAACACAGCTACAAGAGAGCACAATATTTCTGCAGTGTGGCAGTTCATGTGCAGCATGTCCTTTATTGTATAATGCTATTTTTTCGATTTTGTTTTTGCAAAGGGAGCTGTTCAGATGTTCAGCCAAGTTGTGACTCACGTGTTTATCATCCTTTCCCAAGCACTTATTTTATTTCCCCCAGAATTACTGATGGCAGCACTGTCCTTCAGCTGTCAGCTTGTGGGGCATGTGATTACGTGTTGGAGTCAGGGTGTGCGCATGGTGACCACCCACCTCTTGGCCTTGTCACTCGCAGGACATGCTGAAGAACACCCCCAGAGGACATCCTGACCGGCTGCCTCTTCAGATGGCACTCACAGAGCTTGAAACATTGGCAGAGAAACTAAATGAAAGAAAGAGAGATGCTGATCAGCGCTGCGAAATCAAGCAGATAGCAAAGGCCATCAACGAACGCTACCTGAACAAGGTGGAGAGAGTTTCAGCTCTATTCCCAAGTCAGCGTTGCTTTGCACTAACAAGCCACTGCCGTCCAGCCACTTGTAGTTTACCTGGGGAGACGTTTTTGATAATTTCTGTGGTCCAGAGCTAGTTGGAGTGGAGGAGCTTTTTGGGCGTGTCATGTGATTGCTGGATACTGTATACAGGACCTTAGCAGTCTTTGTGTCTATACTTTATTAGGAAAGCAGGTCATAGATTCTCAGATGGATCCATGACTCCCAGAAAGGTTAGGAGCAATACTTTTTAGCTTAATTTTACTTTCAAAATGCTGCATTTCATTTCAGGTAGTAGTAATTGAAGTTCAAAACTTTTGCTGGTGTTTTTGTTCCCACCTATGCATGGTCTGGGTTGTTTTGCTCAGACACAGCAAGCAGTGAGGACCCAGGACAGTGTGGAACCCAGGAGAATAGTCCATCTGCAAGGGCATGGTTCAGCTTCATGTTGACAAAGCCATCTTCCTGCAGGAGTGTTCTCACTCTGTGAGGGCTTTCTATCTCTATTTAAGACCCTGGTCCCCGGGGAGATGTTAACTTAGATGAGCTGTGTTAAATATTGAGCATAATACTCTCTGTTGCTAGAAATCTCCTTTTGATCTTGTCAGTAGGAGTAATTTCCTACCTTACAATGACATTCAGAATTTTACTATGAGAACTTTATGGTGATACCTTTTTTTTTTGAGTTGGAGTCTCACGCTGTCACCCAGACTGGAGTGCAGTGGCCACTCCTGGCCACCGCAGCCTCGACCTGCTGGGTTCCGACGATCCTTCCACCTTCCAGCCTTCCAAGTAGCCGGAACTACAGGCATGCGCTACCACGCCTGGCTGATTTTTTGATTTATTGTAGAGATGAGGTCTCGCTGCCCAGGAGGGTCCCGAACCCGCGGGCTCAGGCAATCCACTCACCTCAGCCTCCCAAAGGTGCGCGATTACAGGCTGAGCCAGCAAGCCTGGCTTGGTGATACATTTTAAGCCACATTTTCCCCAATTCTCCAAATGATTTATGTAGGAACTTGTAAAAGTAGAAAATTGCATTTGATCATTACTCGTGATATAGCTTATGTCATTTATAGTCATGCTCCCTGTAGTAATTGAACACAGATGCTATGGTAGAGTGAGCCCAGAGGCCCAGGATGCCATGATACAGCCTCACTGAATGTCACACCAATACGCGCAGGCCTCCGTGTTCCTGTGAGCATGACTGGGGAGCCATGCAGCGATTGCTTGGAGCTGGCAGCCAGTGTAGATTTAGAGTCAGAAGGCGTAGAGCTCACCTGGGCCAAGGATGCTGCATTTTCTTTTCTTTTCTTTCCTTTTTTTTTTGAGTTGGAGTCTCACTCCATCGCCCAGGTTGTAGTGCAGTGGCATGCTCACGGCCACCCCAGCCTCGACCTGCTGGGCTCAGGTGATTCTTCTGTCTCAATCTTCCAAGTAGCCAAGACTACAGGTGTGCAGTAGCACATCCAGCTAATTTTTTGATTTATGGTAGATGAGGTCTTGCTATTTTGCCCAGCTGGTCTCGAACCTGCAGCCTCAGACCATACACTCGCCTCGGCCTCCCAAAGTCCTGGGATTACAGACCGAGTCGCCGAGCCCGCCAAATGCTGCATTTTCTGTTGGACTAAACTGTTCTAAGAAGTGTGACTTCCACATACTGTATGGTTTTCTTGATTGCTATAAAGAGTCTTTCCAAAGAGCTGATGCGTTTGGCTCACTGAAGTAAAACATGGCATGCCTCGAGAAGTTAATATGTTACTTAATGATGCTTACTTTGGAAAAGGTGAAATTACAGAATAATTCCTTCCACTTGGAGCTGTTCCTGGTTGACCTAGTGATCTAAAACACAGAATGTCCGCTTGCAATGAGAGTCGGGTGGTCAGAGTAGTCATGGTGATGATAGGTTGAAAGAATCGAGGCTTATAGCCATAGAGATGTGTTCTCAGGGGAGAGGGAGAGCCTTTCACATGTGGAGTAGCTGAAAGCACTGCTGTCTGTAAAATACTTTGTCTGAAAAGAGGTCATTCTCAGAACTGCATGGTCTGTGGAGGAGCGTGGCACGGGAGGATGTGGATTCTCTTTAAAGGGAAACATCAATGCAGCTTTAACACTGTACACTAATATAATTTGCAAGACTTTTTCCTCATCCTTTTTTCTTTGCTGGGTAAATGCCACTGTGATCCCTGTGTCAGGTGTTGTTTTGAATGTCTAGCTTCTCAGCAGTGGAAACCGGTACCTCATTCGGTCCGATGACATGATAGAAACAGTGTACAATGACAGAGGAGAGATTATGAAAACCAAAGAGCGCCGGATCTTCATGTTAAATGACGTGTTGATGTGTGCCACAGTCAGCTCACGGTAAGAATGCACTTAATTCACCATACTAGTCTCATAATTACGTGCTCCATGTGTCTAAGAACAAGTGAACGACTTCATTAATTTTCTCATTCAGACTCAACTTATTCTTGTGCTGAAACTTCGTCCTGTGGTCAAGGGAAACTGTATAACAAACAAGCTTATTTTTAAGCAGATTTAGTGTGAGCCACCAAGTCACTGCTGATAGAAATTAGGTCCATACAGGTTTATTTATACTTTCAACAAGGCTGCTGCTGGAGCTGGAAACTAAATTGAGTTTCTTTTATAACTCCCCTAAATTATTTTATGGTTTCTTTTTTATTGTTTAAATTTCTTTCTCATTGCTTTTCTATAGATACATTTTTGATAAACACTTTTCTTATATCGTTAAATGGGGTACATTCACTTTTAGTGTAACACATAGAACATTGTAGTGAGTTGAGGACGTTTGAGAAGCGAAAGAACCTTTAAATATAGGTGGCTTGTGAGGGACTTGGTATAAAACCACATGTGACACTCTTGGTACCGTAGAATATAGCACAGTCTAAAGTGGTGCCGCTCATAGTGTCTTGCAAGAACCCATTGTCACATCTTTAGGCATTCTGGGAGCCAGTTGCCAAACTGTTGAATTGGCCAACACGAGTCAGGAACCTCTCCCCCTATGGGGATGGCTGTTAGGCATGCTGGCCCACCACTGCACTTGACCTTTTCATACCTGTCCTCCCCATTTATCAGCTCCAGACACAGCTGCCCTCTCATTGCTCAGAGTCCCAGGCAGGAGGGGCGTGGATCCGTATGTGGCGCTCACCACATGGAGGCCTGGGGGACGTCTTGGAGTGGTTTCACAGCTGCGCCTTCTCATGACTTTGGGACACTACCCACTCTCTCTAAGACTCAGGCTCCACGTCCATAAAGTAGGGTAATGATAAGAATAACCAACACTGAGGACGTGACCCCACAGGGTTCCTGCAGGGAATAGGTGGAGGCGTCGCTGTCTATGGTGCCTGGCAGCGGAACTGCCCAGAAGCCACAGATTGTTACTGATGTTTCTCCTTGCCCTCACTTCTGTTGTGGCAGCTACAAATTATGTCCACAAAACATGTCGATTCCGATGGTCTCCCTTCTTTGTTTGTTTGGCTCATACCCATGGCTTGGCCTTCATCACTGATGCCCGGCAGCAGCCACAAACGGGTTGCTTTCCATGTGCAGAAATAGGAAGCGGGGGCATCCTACTTTGGAGACGAGCCCACGAAGGGAGGCTGTGAGAGGTCGTGCCTGGGAGTTGTCCAGGTGTGTCTGCTCTAGAGAATGTTAGAATCACGACTATCAACAATAAGGCACTTCAGGTCAGGTGCGGTGGCTCACACCTGTAATCTGAGTGCTGTGGGAGGTGGAGGTAGAAGGATCACTTGAGGCCAAGAGTTCAAGACCAGCCTGGGCAGCATAGTGAGGCCCTGTATCTACAAAAAAATTTAAAAATTAGCTGGGCCTGTAGTCCTGACTACCTGGGAGGCTGAGGTGGGAGGATCACTTGTGCCCAGGAGTTTGAGGCTGCAGTGAGTTGTGATGACACCATTGTACTTCAGCCTGAGCGACAGAACAAGACTCTTGTCTCTTAAAAAGAAGAGACATTTGTACTTCTGTTTTCCTAGTGTTCTGTTATGAGGTGTTTCCTGCAGGGTGGGCACTCATATTTCACAGAATGGCTTCCAAGAGTAACTATCCCAGAAACTCCCCCTTTTCCCAGGAACACCTGCTAGTTCTTGGTGGCCTGGCCTTGGGGGCGGCTGAAGCCATCCCAGCTCTTTACTTGTTGGTTGGGACCCTGATGCTTGTCCTGCCTACCTCAGAAGTGTAGGGGCAAGAGGCAGAATTATTTAAGTGAAACAGCCTTGTAAGCAGCAGAGTCCTGTGTAGACATTATTATTCTCAGTGTATCTTTCCTCATGTGTAGTCAGTATTTGTCTAACCATGGTGGGAGGGCTGGCCACTGCTCCACAGCCCCAAGGTATCAACGGGTGGCCAGGGTGCCAGCTCCTAGGGTTGCCAGTGGGGAGGGCGGGCAGATCTGGCCCTTTTGCAGCTTTATGTGGATTTAAAATTCTCCAGCTGACAGAAATGATGAATGAAAATGGATATTTTATTTATTTACTTATAAATTTTAATAGAGACCAGGTCTCGCTATGTTGCTCAGGCTGGCCTTGAACTCCTGCCCTAGCCTCCCCCCAAAATGGATTTTTAGAGTAACTTGGCTGTTATTTACTGCCAGAGGTATTTCTTTTTTTGTTTGTTTTTTGTTGTTGTTGTTTTTAAGTTGGAGTCTCACTCTGTCACCCAGACTAGAGTGCAGTGGCCACTCCTGGCCACTGCACCCTTGACCCACTGGGCTCCCGCAATCCTTCCACCTCAGCCTTCCGAGTAGCCGGAATTACAGGCACGCGCTACCATGCCCGGCTGATTTTTTTGATTTATTGTAGAGATGAAGTCTCGCCAAGTTGCCCAGGCAATCCACTCACCTCAGCCTCCCAAAGCGTGAGATTACAGGCTGAGCCACCGAGCCTGGCTCCAGAGGTATTTCTTAAAATATTGCCTGTTCCTCTCCCATGATGCCATGGTTTGAAGTGTTTACAAAGTGCACTAGCATGTAACTGCTCCTTTCCCACTGACCTGTCCTCAGTGGTGAGATGAGCACCCATTGTGACTAGGCTGAAGAGTTAAAGTAGCCCCCAAGGACCCTTCAATAGCCTTAGGGGGATATCAAGTTTACAAATCTCTCTAGGAATGGAAATTTTATTTAGATTCAGAGAGGAGGTATATGCATTTTGGTAAGAGTTCTTGGGCATTTCTATTTGTTTTTAATTAAAGGCACCCTCTGATTCATAGCACGACTTATTTTTCCTCTTACTGTGTCTGAATTGTTCCTCCTCCGCTGTCCCTGTCCATGTGGACTAGAACTTGTCATAGAGGGTCAGATTCTTGGTGTGGGAGGGAGTTGGGTCGCTTGGGTGCAGGGAGGGAGTTGGGTCACTTGACTCCTGATAAATATTTCAACTTAAAGTATAGTATGTGTTATACTTGTGATTCTTGTCTGCTTTTTGATTTTGAAAAAACACTACCTTAAAGAAAAGCAAAACGTTACTATCACCAAAAGTAGGAATAACATTTGCTGCAGGAGGGTGGCGTTTTCCTGGGCACGTGGGGGACTCTGGGGTGCTGACAGTGTGACAGTCTCCACCTGGGTGGCAGCTACACAGGTATTTGCTCTGTTTTACTAGACTGTACATGGGTGTTTTGTGTATTTCTCTGAATATGTGTTCTATTTTATAATAAGGAGAAAATAACTTATGGATGTCATGGGTTTTTTTTCATATAAATATATATATTTTTCAAGTCAGACTCTCACTCAGTTGCCCAGGCTGGAGTATAGTGGTACGCTCATGGCCACCGCAGCCTCGACCTGCTCGACTCAGGCGATCCTTCCGCCTCAGCCTTCCAAGTAGCTGGCCACCATACCCGGCTAATTTTTTTGATTTACTGTAGAGATGAGGTATATCCAAGTTGCCCAGGCTGGTCTTGAACCCATGGACTCAGGCAGTCCTCTCGCTTCAGCCCCCTAAAGTGCTGGGGTTACAGGTGTGAGCCACCACACCCAACCCCATATAAATATGTATATGTATGTATTGTGTGTGTGTGTGTGTGTGTGTGTGTGTAGGTGTCTCACTCTGTTGTCCAGGCCGGAGTGCAGTGGCACACTCACAGCCACTACAACCTCAACCTGCTGGGCTCAGGTGATCCTTCCACTTCAGCCTTCCAAGTAGTTGGAACTACAGGCACACGCTACCACGTTTAGCTTATATTTTGATTTATTGTAGAGATGAGGTCTCACCAAGTTGTTTAGGCTGTTCTCAAACTCCTAGGCCAGGCAGTCTTCTCTCCTCAACCTCCAAAAGTGCTGGGATTACAGGTTTGAGCCACCGTGCCTGGCATAAAAATTTTTCAATTGTGGAGTATAAGAGTATTATTTAATTCTATTAAAATGATTATTATGTAATCATTGAGTAAAGAAGAATTTTAGAGTTAATGCTGATAGAACAATCAGAACATGTGTCTAGCCACATAGGAGATGTTTCCTGCTGATAGACTTTTCCAGAATGCCTGAGCATCTTTGGTCAGATAGTCATCAGTGAGCATCCAGTGTCTTCCCCTGAAGCTTTTATGGAAACCCTTAGAGCTTCCTGGGAATAGGTCCCTCTGCAGTCCTCCCTAGGTTTCTTTTTTTTTTTTGAGTTGGAGTCTCATCCTGTTGCCCAGGCTGGAGTGCAGTGGCATGCTCATAGCCACCCCAGTGTCAACCTGCTGGATTCAGGCAGTTCTCCTGCCTCAGGCTCCCAAGTAGCCAGAACTACAGGCATGTGCCACATTACACCTGGCTAATTCTTTGATTTATTGTAGAGATGAGGTCTCGCCAAGTTGCCCAGTCTGGTCTCAAACCCATGGGCTCAGGCATTCCTCTTACCTTGGCTTCCCAAAGTGCTGGAACTACAGGCTTGATACACCGCTTCCAGCTCTCCTTGTTTCTTAGTGAAGAGGTCTCTGCTCTCACCCACTTGGAGGCCTTGTTACCGTAGCACGCGGTAGTTGTTGGGAAGAAAGTCAGAGGCACTGTAACTCAGCAAGTAAAATGCTTCTCCCTTGAGTGTCCAAGGATGAGAAGTGTTACAACTTATTCATATGGATATTTGTAAGACAACGGTGTCTTGTTGTTTCAGCACCTCCCATGAAAGCAACACTATCACCAGCCAAAGGTACTTGCTGAAGTGGAGCGTCCCGCTGGGGCAGGTGGACGTCATAGAATATGGTGGGAACCAGGGTGCGGGAGAGCATGGCAGGCACCCTACCACGCACCCACCCGAGAGCCTGGCAGTGGTTGCCAACGTGAAGCCAAGTAAGTGATACTTTTATTCATGTTCATGCCAGCCTGGGGCCAGCATATGCTCTGGCACAGCCAGGCTCTGGCTCCTCAGCCTCAGAGTTCAAGACTTCAGTCTTTTGGGGTAGTGTAGTCTTTAACATTCTGTGGTCTGACTCATACGGCCTAGCCGGTAGCTCATTTTTGTTCTTACTGCATCTGCTTGGGGTTCACAGTTGAGCTCTCTGGCCAGTCCCAAATGGGTTCAGTCTGCCCAGCTCTGAGGATCTCTGGCCTGCATTTCCCATCAAGTAGGTTAGGACTCAGGTCTCGCCTCTCATGAGGATGGGTTGGACCGATGCGTGGGCACTTAGAGACCGTGTGCAGCTCCACTCTGCTGCCCCCTTGCCGTTGGACAGACATTCAGATTTCTCTTTACTTCCATTTCCTCAGGAAGGTAGTTCTTGTCCAGAAAACTTCCTAAGGTGAAGTGAGAGATGTCAAAATACTTAGGAAATGGCTTAGCATTGCATAGTACTTATGATTATTATTATCACTGAACATTATTCAGACTGCAGGTTTTAGTCTTAGTGTAAAAATAATGACCTTCTCTTTCTTCTCTGTATGTATGTGTGTTTTGGCCTCTGCCCCTGAATTGTGGAACAGTTAAAATACAGTGAGTAGAAATTATCAGGAAACCTTTTCATATGGCAAATGAGCATTAACCTTTCAGGTTATTTTGTTCCTGACATGTTCGGATACAAGAAAGTGACTTGTAGGACTTTTAACCTTTCTAGTTGAATACACACGCTCACTTGGATTTACAGGAACATGATGTAATGAGTGTTAGGTCTAATTTGCTATAGGATTTCTTTTACTTTTCCTATTCCCACTGATATTAATAGTATTCAATTTGGTAAGCTCCCTAGTAGGCTAGTTCTTTGAGTAGACTGTTACAGTTCTTAATCTCTCAAATTGTTGGCTACTAAATCATACTCCTGTTTAAAGTGCTATGCACCTTTAGCAAACTTTTTCAACTAATAACCCAAATAGCGAACTATAAATTAGACTTTCAAAATGAGGTAGGTACGGAGGAGTGTCAGGGAGAGAGAAAGGGAGGAACAAAGAGAACGAGAGAAACATGATTTCTCAAATTGACACATTTCATTAAAATTTTATTCAAGGACAAATTGTCTTGTTCAAAGTTTTTAAAAATCCTTGTAAATTATTTGAAAATATTGACTGCCAGTCAAGTTTATGTCTTAGTTTTGTGAACATAAATCCCTTTGTGTATTTTATAATGCTAGCAATCTTAAAATGTATTTGTAATTAAGATTGCTTTATTGTGTTTAAATAGCTAAAGATGATTTTGACACAGAGTAAATAACCATGTATTACATGCAACATTACATTTGTCACTTTATTTGTGATTGATACTAAGTGAATTTAGAATTAAGATTAGAATCTGAATATGAAAAAACATAAAGCAAGATATTCAGCCAGTTTTTAAAATGCTATCTGGGAGAAGAGCCTAGGAAAGTTTATTACTGCATTTGAGATCTGGACATGACTATGAGCTTTCCATCAGTTATGGCAAAAGGAGACCCATTGATACGGACTAGTCTTCGTTGTCTGTTAAAAAGGAATGTGTCGCATTGGAGACTAAATCTTTTTCTTCATTCTGAATTCAAGGAGAACTTTTTGTCACATCCTAAGTTCAGGGGACTTTTGGAAAATGCTTGAAAACCTATACGACTGTGTTTTGCAGACTTGTCATTGATTTTATTTTGTCATTTTCTATGGAAGAGCATCGATACAACCTTAGTGAAAGCAGTTTTTCATGGGTTAGTTTTTTGTACTCTGTCTTCGGCAGAGAATTCAAGGAATCAGCTTGTTCCATCCTTGACAGAGGTTTTCCAGGTTGAACCCATTCCTCGGTGTAACATGTCTGATCTTTATCAATTACAGGCATTGGTAGTGGAATACCATGCCTTTCACTGTGATCTGTTATTATAATGCCTTTCTTTTAAGAAATGAAGATGCTGGTGACTTAATGAATGTGTGAGGGGCTTAATCTGAAATTAGTTAATTTGTGAATTAATTCTTCTGTTAATTATGCCAATCTTAACGACTTCTCTTCCAACTTTATAGCCTACCATGCAGTAGGTGCTTGATAAATATTTGTTGAGTGAATGAAAAGAAAAATGCAGTCATCATTCGGCATTAAGTTTTTAATTAAACTGTGTCTTCCCACTTACATATTCATTAAGGGCCTGTTCTGAACCAAGCACTGTGTCCTGTAATCCCCAAATGACTCTCAGGCAGAAGGAGACAGACTGATGGACACACAAAGACACGCTGTGACACTTTTCATAGTAGAAACGAGGGCAGAATACTTGGATAGATCAGAAGGAGGTAATCTTCTCAGAGAAGATGTCTTTACAGTGGGACTTTGGAGGAGTGAGGCTTGAGTGGATGGAGAGTGGGTGGACATTGGTTAGTCTACCCACGTGTGCGTCCACTTATGCAGTGAGTGATGCTTATCAGCTGGTTGCATCTGATGCCTGGGCTGTGTACCTCACAGCCTGATATCTGGATGTCGGTACCCAAGTCATTGAGAGCTTTTATCATGAAAGGATACTGAATCTTGTTGAATGTTGTAAACTTCTCTCTGAGAATGATTTTTTGCATCCCATAAGTTTTAGTTTGTTGCCTTTTTATCTTTGCTTGGCTCTAGATTTTCCTTTTGATTTTCTCTTTGACCCATTTGTTTTTGAGTAGTGTGTTGTTTAATTTAACATATTTGTGATTAAATTTTTTTCCTCTGTTATTGATTTCTAGTTTTATACCATTGTAGTTGGAAGATCTTCTGGAATCTGTTAAGATTTGTTTTGTGGCCTAACATATGATCTTTCCTGGAGAACATCCCATGTGCACTTGAAGAATGTGTGTTCTCTGAATGTTGTGTGTATGTCGGTTGGGTCCATTTGTTCTGTAGTGTTAAGTCCATTGCTTCCTTATTGATTTTCTGTGTGAACAATCAATCCATTGTTGAGATTGGAGTACTAAAGTCCCCTGCTATTTCTGCTTTGCTTTTATTTCTCCTTTCAGTTCTGTTAGTTTTTGCATTATATATTTAGGTATTCTGATGTTGGATGCATAAAAATTTGCAGTTGCTATACAGTCAGCCCTTCATATATGTGAGTTCTGCATCCAAAGATTCAAACAACAAAAGATCTAAAGTGTTCAGAAAAAAAATAAAATAACACTACCATGGTAACAAATAATACAAATGAAAAACAGAATAGTGTAATAGCTACTCACCTAGCATTTACATTGTGTGAGGTGCAGTGCTCTTTGGCTCTCTGCCTGGGTAGGGCCACCCAGGCTCTGTGGCCATCTGGACTGCCACTAGTGACCCATGCTAGGCAGAACGTTTGCTGTGCTCCCCAGCCAGACAGAACCCCCACTGGGCTCCGTGGATATGCAGACCTATTGGTTAGTCTCTCTGATTGGATGTGACACCCCCAGCAAGGACATGGTGCCACCAACAAGATCCATAGGCTGGTCGATATGGGCCAAGCCTCCCTCCTTTGTTCCCAGCTGAGCCCAGGTGGTCCAGCCCTACTGATACCCCAGTGTTCCCTGTGGGGCGAGGCAGAGGTAGGCTCCTGGAAAACACCCCAGGATGCAGGGGAAGCGGGAGGTCTCTCTCAGGCTCTCTTTCCCATTGGAGAGCTGTGGGCCCAGGGACTCTCTCCTAGTGTGGCACTGTTGGGCCTAGGGAGGGGACGCAGGCAGAGTGGCCAACTCCTCTGACCCTTCCGCTGTGACTTTTCCAGGAGGTCACCTCAGCTTCACCCCGGGCTTGGGGTATCCACGGGGCCTTGATGTCTTTCTGTGAGGGACACTGGAGCCTGGGCCCTCCTGTTTCACTATCCTGTGGATGCCGCCTCCCATAAGATGTTAGAACATGAGGGGTTGCTTTAGAGGTCGAGGGGCTCTCGTCCCTCCTCATCTTGTGATCTTCCTGATCTCATGGCTTCAGTTACAGTGCAGTCAGACACAGAAGTACAAGCCTAGGCCTGGAGAAGGAAAACAAGATGGTGCCTGGTGCCTTAGTAAGGTCCCCACCTTGCAGAACGAAGAGGAGCAACCAGAGGGGGTGGTTGATGCTTGGTGCCAGCCTCTGGTGTGAAGGTCAACGTGCCTAACCTCCCCGTCTCTGGGGTTACCCTTCATGGACTTGCCAGTGCCTGGGTTTAGTTGGCCATTATCTTACGCAGCTTTCCAAATGGAAAGACCCTCCCCAGGAAGGAGTGCTTCCCACCCAGATGCTGGTGCTATTTAGCTGTCTAAAGGTGCTTAGCAAAACTGCTTATGGCAAGAATCAGTCCTACCGGGCGCGCTCTCCACCACCTCCCCGCCTCCGTCGCCCCCTACCCCTATGCCAGGGGCTCACAGACTGCCCTGGAGCTGGGCATCAGACAACAGGTGCTGGGCCCCACCTGAAGATGTTCTGGTTCAGGGGGACTGGCTGGCTGGGAATTTGCATTTCTAATGAGTAGGTTCCCAGGTGATGTTGGTGCTCCTGGCCTGGCCTGGACAGTGTTTTGAGAACCACTGCCCTGGTCTGCTCTGTCCAGGTCTGCCCTGGTCTGCTCTGGTCCCCTGGCACTGCAGCTATTTTTCATTTTCCTTCCATCTCCTCTAGTTTATCTTCTGCTCTCTAGGCTTTTTTGTTTTTTGAGTCAGAGTCTCACCCTGTCATCCAGGCTAGAGTATAATGGCATGATCACAGCTCACCACAGTGTCTACCTTCTGGGCTCAGGTGCTCCTTCCACCTCAGCCTCCCCAGTAGCTGGAACTATAGGCTCCACCATGCCTGGCTAATTAAAAAAAAAAATTTTTTTTTTGTAGAGATGAGGTCTCACTGTTTTGCCTAGGCTGCTCTTGAACTCTGAGCTCAAGCAATTCTCCCATCTCAGCCTCCCAAAGTGCTTGGATTATAGGCGTGAGCCACCACCCAGCCTTTT